CCCCCCCCCCAAGGCCGCGCCTCACAAAGCCCAACCCGCGTAAGTCAGTTTTTTTTTTTTTTTTTTTAAATAAAAAGAGGTTCAAAGAACGCAAGGCCAAATAGCCGCGACGTTTCCCATCGTCGCACTCCATCTCTACTGCTACACCGCCGTCAGTGGTCCCATTCGCCTCAGAATCTTCTGCCAACCAAATCCTGGTGTCTCCGACCAGTCATCGACGCTGGAATCTCCTCGCGCTTCGACGCCATCTCCTACGTCTCAGCCACTTCGCCTCTGCCCACCGCCGGGAATGGCCGTGCGCTTCTCAAGCCACCAACTCCACTCGGCAGATTCCAACCAAAGGCAAATTGGTTCTTAAAATTAAATTGCCAAAAGTTAGGTAACCAAATCTCACCCATGATTACTGTACTTTTAGATGTTTTGTTTGACAATTTAATTAAATTTGCATTACTCTGTCTACTTTTGTGTTTAACCCAAAAAAAAAAAACAAAAAAAAAAAGAGAGTTAAAAACAGAGAATAGGAGCTTGAATGAATAATCAAATTGCTCAATTGTATGCTAAATTACACAGGAATATAAAGTTCCCTGCTAATGTACGAAAAAGGTAACTAATCATCCTAATTTAAGAGAAATAATTAGCTAAATAATTCTTTCCTAGAATCCCTCTTGACAGTCGGGATGACAGCCTATCTACGTTCCTCCTAGAAACCCTCTTTGATAGTTGGGATGACAGCCTATCTACATTTCTTATATAGTACAAATTGATTACTATTATTTTAGCAATCTTCCAACACTCCCCCTCAAGCTGGCGTGAATATGTCATTCATGGCAAGCTTGCTAATGAAACTTTCAAACTGTGCCTTGGGAAGACCCTTGGTGAGAATATCTGCAACTTGGCTAGTGGTTGGTATGTAGGACATACATATCACACCGCTATCCAACTTCTCCTTGATGAAGTGTTTGTGCACTTCTACATGTTTTGTTCTATCATGTAGAACTGGATTGTGTGCGATTGAGATTGCTACATTATTGTCACAATAGACCTTGATAGGTGTAGGTATAGAAATCCTCAAATCTTTCAAAAGTCTTTTTATTCATAAAACTTCACAGAATCCATGTGCCACTGAGCGAAACTCGACTTCAGCACTGCTTCTTGCTACCACACTGTTTTTTTCCTCCTCCAAGTAACCAAATTTCCTCCAACAAACGTGCAGTAACCTGAGGTGGATCACTTCACTTATACTGCTTGCCCAATCTGCATTAGTGTAGGCTTCTATATGAAGATGATCCCTTTTTCTTGAAGAGAAGTCCCTTCTCAAAAGCTCCCTTAAGATATCATAAAATTCTGAACACAGCTCCAAAGTGAGTAGTCCCAAGTGAGTGCATAAACTGACTTACCACACTTACTGCGAAAGCTATGTCAGGTTGCATGTGAGCCACATAGATTAGTCTTCCAACTAATCTTTGGTATCGTTCTCGGTCAACTATTTTGTCAGCAATAGCTGGTTCCACCTTCAAATTAGACTCAATCGGAGTATTTGCTGCCTTGCAGCCAGTCATGCATGTTTCTTTAAGTAAATCGAGAACATACTTTCGCTGGTTTATAAAGATGCCTTCCTTGGATCTGGCAAATTCCATACCCAGGAAGTATTTTAGAGTTCCCAGATCTTTGATCTCAAATTCAACATTTAACTTCTTCAAGTTGATTTCTACAAGATCATCTCCTATCATGATTATATCATCCACATACACAATTAAGATAGCTAGTTTACCTCTAGTTGAGTGTTTGAAGAACAAATGTACGATCATCTTGGCTCTGTGAGAAGCCATGCTTTCTGACAACATTTCCAAAACACTCAAATTAGGCTCTTGGAGATTGTTTTAGACCATATAGGGATTCCTTTAGCTTACACACTTTACCCTTCCCAAGACATTCTTCAAAGCCGGGAGGTAGATCCATGTAAGCTTCTTCTTGTAGATCTCCATTAAGAATGTGTATTTGACATCCAACTGATGGAGTTGCCAGTTGCAATTAACAGCAAGAGAAAGAAGTATTCTGATGGAATTTATTTTAGCAACAAGAGCAAAGGTGTCTTGGTAGTCTATACCGTGAGTTTGAGTGAATCATTTTGCTACGAGTCTTGCTTTGTATCTTTACACACTACCATCGGCTTTACATTTCACGGTACTGTCTTCTTATCAGTTGAAAGGTCAATCACACTCCAAGTGTCATTCTTCCTGAGAGCATTCATCTCTTCTATTACTGCCGATTTCCAATTCGGATCACCTAATGCCTCTTGCACAGTTCTTAGAACAAACAGATTAGAAATCCTAGACACAAATGCTTTATGATTGTCTGACAACCTTCCATAAGACAAATACTTAGCAATAGGATGTCTAGTGCAAGTTCGTGTTCCTTTTCTTAGAGCTATTGGAAGATAAAGATCATTTGAGGATGAATCAGGCAATTCAAGTGATAGAGTAGTATGAAAAAAGGACGGATTACTCTGAGTGGTTGTGGAAGGACCATTACTCTAATCAGATTGAACATCTACTGAGGAAATAACTGGTGCCATCGCATCTTTGCGAAATCTCTTTCTCGTATAAACCTGAAGTTTAGAATAAGGAATATTATGGCCTTTTTGGTGTACTTCTCCCCCTGTCTCTGATGCAACAACATTTGGCAGAGTAGGATTAGGGAATTCATGAGTTTCCATATGTTCAACAGTTGTTTCCTGAATTTGTTTATCAAAAGTGATTTAAAGGTATTGACTCAGAAACATTCGGCACAGGTAGACTTATAGTTTCCCAAAAATTATCTTCCTCAATTACTCTCTCCCCCTGAAGAGAATTTTTTTGAAAGAAAGGCTGGTTTTCGACAAAGGTTACATCCATACTCTCGAAAAATTTTCTTGTGACAGGATTAAAACATTTATAACACCTTTTATTAGATGTATAACTGATGAAGACACTTTTCAGATTTCAGATCTAGGTTTGATCAAAAGTTATTGGATATGTAAACATAGCATGTACAGCCAAATACTTTCAGAGGTAGATCAGCACTTAACCAAGATGTGGGAAAGGCCTTTTTTAAACAATTTAATGGTGTTTCAAATTTCAAAACTCGAGATGGCATTCTATTTATTAAATAACAGGCAACCAAAAGAGCATTACCCCAAAGATATTTAGGAACGTTCATTGAAAACATAATGGCACGGGCAACTTCAAGCAAGTGTCTATTTTTTCTTTCGGCAATTCCATTTTGTTGTGGTGTATCACGATGGGTGGATTGATGAACGACACCCTTTTCCTAAAGAAATGTTCCAAGTACTTGTTAAAATATTCAGTTCCATTATCTGTTCTTAAAAGCCAATCCTAGTCTGAAATTGATTTTCAATCATGAGGAAAAAATCTTTAAAACGTTGTTCAACTTCAGATTTCTTTTCCAGCAAATATACCCAGCATACTCGGGTATGATCATCAATGAATGTCACAAACCATTTTTTTCTAGAAAGTGTGTTGACCTTAGATGGGCCCCAAACATCTCTATGAAATAAATAAAATGGTTTTGAAGCAAAACAAGGCTTCAAAGGAAACGAAACTCGCTGATCTTTAGCCAAATGATAAGCCTCACAATTTAACTTTGAACAATCAATTCCTTTAAACAATCCAGAAAATAAATGCTTAAGATATGAAAACCTAGGATGTCCTAATCTCCTATGCTACAACATTATTTGATCATAGACAAAGATTGAACTAGTACTACCTAATCCCTGAGCTTTTTTATTCCCGAAAGAAATCTCATCAAAGTAGTACAATCCATTTATTTCCCTAGCAGTTCCAATCGTCTTCCCCGAGCTCCGGTCCTGAAAAACACAATGGGAAGGAACGAAAAGAATAGAACAGTTAGAATTTTTTGATAATTTACTGACAGAGAGAAGATTACAGACAAGTTTTGGAACATGTAAGACCGAATTGAGTGATTTTTTCAGAAATTTTAACGTGTCCTTTGCCTACAAATGGTGAGAAACTACCATCAGCTATTCTAACTTTTTTAGCACCTGAACAAGGGAAACATGAGCTAAACAGATGTGGAGAACTTGTCATGTGATCAGAAGCCCCTAAATCGATGATCCAAGGACCGGCTTTTGCAAGAACAGAGAGTGCTAAGGGTTCACTACCTGAATGTGCCATAGAACCGACAGGAATACTAGGTGATGAATAGGATTTCAGCAGCTTAAGAAGATGATCTAACTGCTCCTTACTGAATGGAGAAGACTCGGCTTCATTTGCAAAAGGGGGGTTCTGCTCAATCGGCATGTTTCC